TCAAAGAAGCTTTTCCAAAATGAGTTTAAAGTTGTACTTTTCAAAGTATGAATAAATTTAAAGTGTTAAGCTCTACTTAGAGGAACTTTTCCAAGATGATGAATTTAAAGTTGTTGAGCCTCTACTTAAAGAGCTTTTTCAAGATAAATTTTAAAGTGTTAACCTCTGCTTAGAGGAGCTTTTCAAGATGAATTATGAATTTTGAAATTTGCTTGACCTCTATTATATGAAGCTTTTCGAGCCAATGGAGGATTTTATAAAGAATTAGAGTGACCTTATTAAAGCTTTTAAACTTTTTAAAAAAAAAAAATTTCTTAATGTTTCTTCTTTCAAATAAAATGATTGTCTGTTTGTCTTTGCCTTATTCTTGATTCTCAGAAATAGGCAAAGAGGGGCAACTGTAGACACCATTTTATAATTTTTATTTTTATTTTTTTTCTCTTTTTTTTTCTTTTTCTTTGCTTTTTTGTTTCTTCTTTTAATCTATTGCAAAAGACCCTCAAAATCTATTTCTATTGGGATCTCATTACTCTTCACTACCTTATTTTTCTTTTTTCTCTAAACTTAGTGTAACATGTTCTAATATTTTGTATTTTTTCATCATCAATATCCGAGCCCCACTCATATTCTCCAAAGGGTTCTTTCTCACTATATGAATTTTTACCCTCATTTGCATCCTCATGTGAACCTTCAAGTGCACCTGCATCCAACACAGTCACATGTACAAATGCATATACCAAATTACTATCATTTTCAGCTCACCCACCTACATTATTATCATCTACCCTACTAATGTTTGTAGCCTCTTCACTATTAATGTCTCCATTACTTTCATTTTCCATATTACACGCATCCTCTTCATTATCCTTCCTAACCTCCTCATTATGCTCCTGACTTGACAATAATGGTATATCATTTACAAACTCAGGTATATCAATCCCATGTTCCACATATACATGTATCTCTCTCATTGCCCTCATATGATCTATCAGCATACCAAATGATGCATTATCATAGCATAATATTAATCCATTCTCAACACTAGACCCTAGTGGCAAGTAATAAAACATAGTAGTAGTACCATACCCAGCCTCTTTAACCATATTGCACAACATAGTGAATGAAATCATATCAAGATCTACTTTCCATACATCTACATGCCCACTCACATAGCTTACTCTTGGATTTGCTATAAATTTCCCACCCAAATGCATGTGTAAAGGAAACATCATAAAAACCATTATTTTAGTTGCATCAAAAGCAACAAAAATATAATAAACAAAGCCTTTAATAGTATAATGAATAAAATCATGCAAATAAACTAGGACCACATCGCAAAATCCAAACATACAGTCCAACATGCATGCAAAAATTTGATCAAAAGAAAGTGTTATGCCCAAATAAAAAGGTATATAAAAATTAAATGCTATGCCCACATAAACTCCTATTGAATAAAAAAGCATTTGAAATAAAAAAGTCACATTTCCAACACTTATTGTAACCTTAAACTAGAGAAAAAAAAAATTAGTAAACTTTACAAAGTTTTGTAACCCCTAATTGATTTTCACTTTGCTCTACAAAATCGAATTCAAATACTCTAGAAATCTCCCTGTGCCAATCAATTCCCCTGACTCATCTTGTTCTAGTGAAGAAATCCAGTACTTCGATCAGATAGTGTAATCAAATCAAACCTAAAACTTTTCACTTTAACGTCTTTTCCATCACTTTCTTGTTGAATTCTTAGAAGAACGATTCAAATTTTCATACGAATAGAATAACGATTTGGGGGTTTGAATTGGGGTTTTTTATAGTTTAAACTTTTGGTTTTTTTTTTTACTGGTTTAGGGTTATTTTATTTGGGTTTAGGGTTAAACATTTTTTGGCCACATAAGTCACATAAGCATGCTTATATATCATTTTGTGTCTACATGATGTATCAATTTTGTAATTCAGGTATCTATTTAGTAACTTTTTTAGTTTAAGTACCAAATCCAACAAACCACTATAATTCAAGAGCTATTTAGTACATTATCTCTTTTTAAAATGGAAAACCAAATGAACAATACCCTTTTATTTATGTTAACTCGGAGGAGTGCTGTAGTATTCTTTTGACATAAGATGATCAGCATTTTCTATGTTATGCCCTCCATCCATTGTTTTCTTCTATGCTTGCAAAACCACCGGCGCTTTCAACATTTGATAAATTAAGCTGCAATTTTCTTTTTCTTTTTTTTCATTTATTCTTGAGGCTGCCAATCATTAATTAGTAAAATTAAGAGTTCAATACTCAATCAAATTGTACAAGTGTTGGCTTTCATTTTCTATTTGTCAACATGAGAACAATATTGCCAATTTGCATAAATTCAACTGAAGACCCTAATGATTAAATTTTCTCTTTTTGCAATATGCTGAGACAAAAAAAAAAAAAAAAAAAGAAAAGAAAAGAAAAGAAAGAAAGAAAAACCTTAAAGTTAAATGCTAAAAATATTGTAGTAGCTAGGACTTTTGATGACTTTTGCAGCGGTAACCAACTAACCATCGATTTCAATCTTCATCACAAGAATGCTCTGCGCTTTCTGTATACCCATTAATTTTTTCTAATTGTTTTGAAACGTTTTGTTTTAGGTAAAAAGAGAAAAGGTTATTTCATTAGGCAAACCAAGCTATTGGTAGCCGACATTGTTGAAGATAATTTGATCAGACCATTTACTCTTAACATAATTAATGACTTTGGTTTCTTGACTTCCTGCAGGGGATCAAAGGAAATCTTGATTCTAGAACCGTGCTAATCATCATCCTTTGTCGAAAACCGGCAATCATGCTCATTCCTGATTAAAAAATTTTATCATGGACTTTTTTCCCACAAGTAACAAATTAAATTTGTAAACATATTTAATTATTTATATTGATTATTGAAGAGACAAATTCCAAAACCTTCAACTTGCTAGGAAAGCTTAATAATAGTGAATAGACCAAGTCAAATGAATTAAGTTTGTTCACTTGCATGGAATATCATCATCATTGGACCTAGTTTCATTTTATTATCTTCTTTAAACCTTAAAAATAAAGTAATAAAGGAACAGACAACAGTCCTCATTGATGTATCTCATTCACTGCATAAAGGCTAAACTTGACCAACATATATATATATATATATATGTATGAATGTATGTATGTATGTATGTATGTATATGAAGGTATATATCTTTTTTTTTAACGAAAAATCTAAAGTAAATAAGTTACTTAATTTTTCATATCAAGGTAAAATGTACTGTATTCGACAATTGAATGCAGATTATACATTTAAAATGATCCCAACAAACGATCACCAACAGACTCGAACCTAAGATTTTTTCGTCGAGGATGAAAAACTTTAACCAATTAAGCCAATCACTTATTAATACATTAAGGTATATATCATCCATATATATAACAAGACAATGAATAGAAACAAGCACAACCAAACCTCAGCATACCAGACAATAAATAAAACTGTTAATTAAAATTAAAATTTTCGTCCTCAGCTAATCGTCTTTTTGGTATCGGTTTCTACATATCTTATTGCTCCAATGCACTGAAAAGTTCCTCCTGGTTTTGTTTTCTATTTGTTCACATATATTAAAGGATTGTTCAAGATTGCTGAATGCTATAACTGCTCTAATTTCACTGACTTGGTCAGATGAGTTTGGTGGTGTGTGTATATATATATATATATATATATTGTCACATGGACCCAAGGGGCGGACATTACATTTTTTAATGTTTAGTTTGTTTCTATAATTTTTTGGTTTTAATTAACTTCAATGCTCTTCATATTCTTTGTCACCAGATACCAAATATAACTGCAGATATTTACATATTTTCTGATAACTAGGTACTTAACTTCTCCTGATCATATAGCTTTTGGCTCTATTGGGACATTTCTGGGATCTCTTGCCAAGTTGTAGTGCTTGAACTTAACCTACTCTTTTCTTCCTATAAAATAAATTGTCTTGATTTTATTGCTTCATTACGTTTTATTTTCTATTTTGGTGATTCAAGCATGTTTCCCTCAAAACCAATACTTTATATTGGCTGACTTTGGTTCTCACTCTCTCTCTCAAACGCAGCTTCACATATGAGAAAAACACCAACATTCCGCCCACAAGAAAACAGAGTTCTTGATTCAAGCATATGCTTGAATTCATGGTGCAACTTAATTAGTTATTGCCAATAAATTGATGAATTGGATCTGTTTAAAGCTTGCTTACCTTACACATTCTTTTCTAAATTTTGGTTAAGTAGGGTTTAAATAGAAAACTTATATTACCCTGTAAAATGTAATTAAATCATTGGTGTTTTAAAATATTGGGTTTAAGGTGATCTTAAACAAGGGAGAAGGCAAAGTGATTCAATCTCACATTGGATAGAAAAGAGAAAGTTACTGGTAATAAGCCTGAGTGTTACACATCCAATTTTGTGGGAAAAAGGATAATTGCCAAGAGGCAATGACTTCTTTCTGTCTAAAACTTATCTTCTTCATTACCACTAGGACAAGAAAATTCGGAGGGTCCCCATGGAAGCTTACTTATTAGCTTCTCATGAACAACAAACATTTGCTTTGTCAACTCAGGCAACATGTTATTAAATATTACATGTACAACTGACAGCTTTTATGTGTTATGGACTGATCTTAACTTTCCAACCACCAAGATTTAATGATAGACGGAGGTGAGAAACGTTGTGGATAACCAACCACAATCTGAAACAGATTCCCTCTTATAAATAAAATTTCTCAAAACTACCCTGGATGTATACTTAAAACCTATAATCAGAAAAAATGTAGCTTTCTTAGTTCCTCAGATTCCTATTTCCTGTCTTCACACTGTTCCCATAGAAATCAGCAGTTTCATCACTATCTTGATTGACCTTCATTTTCTAGCAGCCAGCACATTTTTGTCAAAATATGCTTGCTTAATTTGCATATAACTTTTGATTTAATTAATTAAAGCCACAAAACATATTTTGTTAAAATAATCACCCTGGATTGCTATAAGAACTTAAAGTCTAGTCTTTATCTAAAATTTAAACCTATGGTGGCTCAAAGGCGAAAAGCGTGTTTTGGGTAACATCATTTATCAGTTTCTGTTGAACCATTCACCAGAAACTTTACTATATCTTCAGGATGCCAGTACATTCCCATAAACAGTATGTAAAAGCGTTTTCAAGGATCATGTTGCTTCTCTTCTTGATCAAAGTCAAATTTTTAAATTAAAATCCAGTCTGTATTCCACTATATGTAGTCTCAATTTTCCAAAGAAATATCCAATAAAAAATGAAGATGAGATGCAGTCATGCTTTTCATCCTTTTAACTCACATTTTTTTAATGCTGTTAGCAAATTATTGATTAGTTAGTACAACATTCAACCTTCTCAAAAGAGTCGTCAATATAGCTTATATAGTTCCTAATTCTCATTCATGACATATCCTTCTCCAAAATGAAGAAAATACCACATCTTGGGGTGATCCTAGCTATCATATTTATCTTCTCTAAATCCTCTCATGGCCTAATAGATGTCAATATTACTCCACCATTCATCCCAAACCCTCGACTTCTGAAGGCCTATATAGCCCTCCAAGCTTGGAAACATGCCATGACCTCTGACCCCAATGGCTTTGCCTCAAATTGGTATGGCCCAAAGGTTTGCAACTACACCGGTGTCTTTTGCGCACCAGCCCCGGATGACCCTCACATTACTACAGTGGCTGGAATAGACTTAAACCATGCCAACATAGCTGGTTCTTTACCTGAAGACCTTGGCCTCCTTACTGACCTTGCTCTTTTCCACATAAACTCCAATCGCTTTTCTGGCAAGATACCTGAAAGCTTTCGGAAACTTAACCTTCTTTATGAGCTTGATATTAGTAATAACCAATTTAGTGGAGAGTTCCCTTACGTTGTTCTTTATTTACCTTCACTCAAATTTCTTGACATCAGATTCAATCAATTCAGTGGTGCAATCCCCTCACAGTTGTTTGATCTGAAACTAGATGCCTTGTTCTTTAACAACAACAAGTTTCAATCATCCTTACCAAAAAACCTTGGTAACTCTCCTGTGTCAGTTATTGTCATGGCCAATAATGGCCTCACAGGTTGCTTTCCTTCATCAAGTTTGGTACAGATGGCAGGAACTCTCCGGCAAATCATTTTCATGAACAATGGATTCACAGGGTGTTTGAAACCAGAACTTGGTGCGTTAAAGGGAGTGACAGTGTTTGATGTTAGCTCTAACAAGCTTGTTGGCCCTTTGCCAGATGCTATTGGGGAAATGAAGAGCTTGGAGCAGCTTAATGTGGCAAACAATCAACTATCTGGTTATATTCCAGAAAGCATATGTTCATTGCCTAAGCTGAAGAATTTCACCTACTCCAACAATTTCTTCATTTATGAACCTTTAAAATGCCTCAAGTTGCGGGCCAAAGATGATAGAAAGAATTGTATCCCCTATAGGCCATTGCAGAGATCACCAATGGAATGCAAGTCTTTCTATGCACATCCAATTGATTGTAGTATCTCTGGCTGCTCGCCTAGAAGTCCACCGCCACCTTCTCCACCTCCCCCTTCTCCACCTCCACCTTCACCACCACCACCTTCTCCACCTCCCCCTTCACCACCACCACCTTCTCCACCTCCACCTTCTCCACCTCCACCTTCACCACCACCACCTTCACCACCACCACCAGTGCATCTTTGGCCATGACCAAATCAAGTTAAAACACAGTTGGGTTTTTTCTTTTCTATTTCTCTTTTGAGAAGCAACATACAATTTCTATTTGATGTACATTTTCTGGATTGGTGAGAATAATTATGTTGCTGATCAGGTTTCCATCTCTTTCTTTGCATTGCTATATATTTCATAGCCAAATGCTTCCATATAAGCTAATTATGTGTTCAAAAACTATGGTATTGTCTTATGTCAAAAAAAATAAAAATAAAAACCTATGGTATTGTCTCCTCATTACTCTGATTCTTCAATAAACAAAGGTTTTGGCCAAAGGTAAAAAGAGGAAAAAAAAAAAAGAAAAAAAGGAAAATCAGAGCAAGATACGACCTTCAATAAAATACATATCTAAAGCAGGTTGAGATGAACTATCTTTTAATCATTTATCTTATGGTCAACCAGAGAGGTGAGGTGACGAGGTAAGAAAAAATAATTTGTACCTAAATTCTGATTAATTTATTTTAACTAAAAAAAGTAGAAAGGCTTAAAAAATCAATAATAACTTTCGATTAAAAAACTTAGATGAATCTAAATATGCTAATTAGTACAAATTGAAATCTTTGGTCGTGATGGTTCATGCAATTCTTTTAAAGGTTGACTTTCAGTAAATTTGGATTAAAATCTTCGTACGCTTTAATGGCGGCAATACTTAGGGTATAAATAGGCTTAAAAAAAATTGATCTAACCCCAGCATCCAATTTCATATGATATGAGTACTTATTTTATTGTGTATTACAAAAACAATACCAAAAGGTTTCCTACTAAAGTAAGCTATTATTAGCATTTGTGAAAAAAAAAAAAGAACATGATATCAAAATTGACTGAAAAACGTATGCATGCATTGTATGATTTACTAAGAAAGGTAGAAATTTATGAGGATAAATTAAATATTTTGAGTTCGAGATTTAATTTAGTTAGTTTATGAAATTATTTTTAAAAAATAATATTTAATAAATTTTTAATTTAAATTTTAATGTCTATAATTTTTTTTATTTTCAAATCATAATTTTTTTTAAAAAAATTAAACATATTTTCTTTTTCAAAACAAATAGGAAAATTATACCAAAAAAAAAAAACTTGGGCTTATGTCTGACAGCCTGAGAAGGATTAGTGGGCTCAATTATTGAATTTAGGTTCAAAACTCTAACAACAAAATGCTAAAGCTAAACAAAAATTAGTTGCTCAAAACCCAAATCTGAGTCACCAAAAATGGCCCAAAACCCTCAGGGCACAACCCTAAAGACTCCGAAAACGATCTATCAAAGAGCTCTATATATAAACCCAACAACAAAAATAGGGTTTTGAAGTCTCTCACATACTAAAACCAAAGGGTTTAGCTCTCTTGCAGCCGTCCGTCTGCTCTTTGTAGCTAACCAGCAAAGCTTCAAACATGGCCGTTGGGTACTCATTTCTTTCTCATAGTCCCTCTCATTCTTCAAATGGGTTTAGCTTCATTTCTTCATTCTGATCTGTTTTGTTGGTTCTCTCTATGTGTTGTAACATAGGAAGAACAAGAGGATTTCCAAGGGAAAGAAGGGAGGAAAGAAGAAGGCGTGAGTATTTTTTTAATTGATTTTATCCTTAATCATGCTCTGGGTATTTTTGAAAGAGATCTGTTAGTTAAATTTTGTTTGTGTTTGGTTTTATTTAGAGTTGATCCATTTGCTAAGAAGGATTGGTATGATATCAAGGCTCCTTCAGTTTTTACTACCAGAAATGTTGGGAAGACTCTTGTTACCCGTACTCAGGGTACCAAGGTTTGTTTTCTTTTGAAAATGCTTGCTTTTTGTTGTATGTAAGTTTTTTGGATATTTTGAAACTGAGGAGAAACTGGGTTTCATTCAGATTCTTTGTACATTGTTTCACAATTGAGTGAGAAAATCTTGTGTTCGGTATCAAATTTTAAATTCATGTTGACCTGGCACTACATGGCAATTTCCTGGAGGAGGATGCAACAATTTGATTTTACTAGCAACTCTAGAAAGAGTCTGAATGCCATGAGATCAATTTCCTTTCTTCAATTATCTTTCTAGGAATTCATTGTTGAGAAACTTTAAATGTATTTTTTCTCTATTCTTTTTAGTCTTGCGTAGTCAGCTGCAGTTATTTAGCGAATTAACTGACTTCATGAGTTGGTTCTATCTATAATATGCTATGTAGATGTGGGAAAATCTTTGTAACATTTAAATTTGCATTGTAGGTACAGAACAATGAAGTTAGACCTGCTTAATACATTTAGTTATAAGCATTTACAATTTGATCTCTAGGTATATAGATAAATAGTTTGAACTTGGTTGTTTCATTGATAGATTGCTTCAGAAGGACTCAAGCACCGTGTGTTTGAGATTTCACTGGCTGATCTTCAAGGTGGTGATGAGGATCATGCGTACAGAAAGATTCGATTGAGAGCTGAAGATGTTCAAGGAAAAAATGTTTTGACCAACTTCTGGGTATGATAATAATAAATATCTTTATTTACTCCATTGTTTCAGTGTTGTTTGTAGTAATAAACTAAAAAAATTGCTTTGTTTTCCTTTCAAATTTCCAGGGAATGGATTTTACAACTGACAAACTGAGGTCTTTAGTGCGTAAATGGCAAACTCTGATTGAAGCTCATGTGGATGTGAAGACAACTGACAATTACACTTTGAGAATTTTCTGCATTGGATTCACTAAGAGACGCCCAAACCAGGTTAAAAGGACTTGTTATGCACAATCCAGCCAGATTAGACAGGTAAAACAATTTGCTTGACTTACATGATATTGAGAACTTGTAAAAAAATTTGCTTGTCTTACATACCTTGAGAGATATTGAGACGTTCAGACTGTATGTGACTTTCATCAAATTGGTCTATTCCATGATGACTGAGTGAAGTTGCTTTTGTTTTCCAGATACGGCGAAAGATGAGGGAGATAATGACTGCCCAAGCATCATCATGCAATTTGAAGGAATTAGTTCAAAAGTTCATTCCCGAGATGATTGGAAAAGAAATTGAAAAGGCAACGTCTAGCATCTATCCTTTGCAGAATGTGTTCATTCGTAAAGTCAAAATTTTGAAGGCTCCCAAGTTTGATCTTGGAAAGTTGATGGAGGCATGTTTCTAATATCCATTCTTTGCTTTTAGTATTTCTCTGCATTCTATCAAGCCTTTCAATGAAAATATTAAATATGCCATGACGACTAGGCATCTTTAGCTGAATGTGATATCAAATTATTTCTGCATTGTGCCTGATTATTTTTTTATTCATTTAGGTTCATGGTGATTACACAGAAGATGTTGGTTTGAAAGTGGAGAGGCCGGCTGATGAGACAACGGCTGAGGTTACCCCAGAGGTTGTTGGAGCTTAAATGAAGAGTCCTTGAATATCTTGTTTTTTCTGCTTCTGAGAGTTTTGTTGATCATTTTCTTTTTGTTGGAAACTCGATTAGAGAATATCTGCATGTTTTGATTACAAGGATAAACGAAATATTCAGTAGACAACATGTTACTCCTTGGACATGTCTGTTTTGGTATCGATCATCTATACAATTAATGTTATCCCATTGATCTGAAATACCCCTAGGTCACTGTGCATTGTACAGCTTGCTGGTTTTGCTAATGCTACCATATGAACACCCACCCATTTGGAATGAGTATTTTAATGATGGGGTTTTGTTTCTGGTCTCTGAAATGAAAGTGGTTCCATTTTCTTTAGAACTTCTACATTGGGATATGGAGATGGCGTTTTGATAAATATCACGTGAAGTTCGGCCGGCAGCTGCGACAGCTGCTAAATCATTTTTTATGACAATGGCCTTGAAAGTATTCGGAGACCAGCACAGCTTAAGTAACATCAAATGATTTGTAGTTCTATTGCCAGGGTCAATAACATCAAATAGCCAACTCCTTGTAAAATCTAAAACCAAAATGGAGATAGAAGTATGCGACTTGAGCTGTCGAGCTGCATGTTTCAAGTTTAAATTCCATTGACCAGAGTAAATGTAATTGGATATAAAAGAAAGTTCTAATTCTTTGACATTGTTACCAGAAATTGCATGATAAAATGCTGGAGGCAGCTTATTGATTGATTAGATGAGGCCTAATTCTTACAATGCTCTAAAAGCTAGTAGTAACAGTTTGCTCTCGATAGATATTAAGAATAATACCCCCAATGGAAATTTGTGGCTAACAAGAAACAACAGGCTTTCTTCTGTCTGCTAGCCTCAGTCATTAGTAGGTCTTGCACACCCACAAAAACAAGCCTTCTTCTGCCTTCCAATTCGTCTCCCACCACTGTTGATGAAGTTCCTTAAGAGGACACCCTTTCTGTTTTTTCCTTTGCTCTTCCTTTCATCTTCCAGTTTCAGCAAAACATACTCCACGCTCTGCACCTCAAACTGTAATCTTCCAATCTTTTCAGACCGTTTTTCTGCCCGCTCTTGCACATTTTTCCTGTCACTATTTCCAGATTCTTCCAGCTCAGCTGAGTTTGTCCCATCTAAAGATAGACTCCCTTCAACATCCTTAGTTAATGGACTGTTGACATTCACCAACTCTATGATGGCATCCTCCACCTCCTGCAATTGCTCTTTAACTTGGCCATATTCTAGATCGTATGCCTTCTTCCTCTTTTTGGTTTCCATTCTCTTTTTCAGCTCTTTGACAGTAGTTTGAAGACTCGTCAATTTATGAGCATCAGAAGCAAGTCTCTCTAAGACCTTTCTGCCTTTTGCTCCTTTCTTTGGCTCTCTAATGCTAGTAGATATCTCAGGCTTATCGATACTCAGCTCCTTCTCAATCTGTGTTCCCAAAGAAAGATCATCATTTTTCTGCTCTACCCCATCGAACTGATGACAAGAAATGATCTCCCCTGCTAAAATTGCCCCTTTATGCATGCCATTCATTGTTGAATCAACAACACATTCATGCTCAGCAGACTCCCATAGCTCAAGCATTTGATCATCAGCTGCTCTATTCTCTCTCTTGCTCCTTCCATATAACGAACAATCTGAGACCTGATCCAGGGGAATATCTTTCAACAATATCCCATTCCTCAATTCAGAAATTTCAGGTTTCATCTTCTTTGACTGGAGGTTTTGAGCAAGCTCATCACCAACTTGCATATCTTTCTTCTCTTCATGATATGGGGGCACAATGCCATTAGCAGAAGCTTCAATTTGGCTGCTGTTCCTATTACTTTCTTGCTTTACAAGCCTGTCCATCTCTTCCATCACTGCCTTTTCAACTGCTTTAAGCCTAGTGTGCAACTCCTGCAAGTCTGAAATTCCAGCTGTCAAAAAAGAAATTTGTCCTTCTTTGAGTTTCTCAGACCTCATTTCGTGAAGTTCATCAGCCATTTCTACATCCTGCTGAAAACAAATAATTATTAGTAGTAAAATCTGATAATACAATTAGAAAAGGCAGAATATATGCATGCATGTAAAAATGCATATATCTTGGATTGGGCGCAAAAATCTCCTATTCTGACCAAGGAACTTGCTTACATTGTGTTAGACCAATAAGGGGGGAATCAGAAACCTCTTCAAAGTTCAAACTTGGATTTGAGACTAAGTTGTTTCAATCATAAATATGAATAGAAAATTTACCTCGTCTTTTTCACTACTTGGAACACAAAGCTTTCGCTGAAGATGGGCATTGTGCTCAAGGGAAGTTATACTGTCTCTCAGTGAAGATATGACAGGAATATATGCAGACATCCAGACCTTCAAACCTCCAATTTCACTTTCCAAGAACTCAACCTTTTCCTTCATCTGTCCTATTTGTGCACTCTTTTGAGCACTTTCTTCTTCAAGAGTCTCACAAACTTCAGTAAGCTCATGTACCTTATTTTCAAGTAGAACTTCACGGATGGCAGAAACTTGGAAATCAAAGTAAAATGTTGCAGCCTCCGCCTCCCAGAGTTCAAACTCATTGCTTCTCTCTTGCAGCTCTAGACTCAGGTTTTCTTCACGCATCTTTTGTTCTTCGATTTCCTTATGCAATGTAACAACTTCAGAGCCCAAATTTTCATTTACTTCAAGAAGGTGTTCAATTTCCATTTTCTGCTCTTTGCCATCTTTGGATAGTTTGAGAATCTGCTTCTCTAAACTTTCTCTAATCTGTTTAGATTCCTCACATTCCCTTGTCAGTTCCTCCAGAGACCTGGACAGCTCTGCATTCAAGTTATGTGCAGCCTGAAGCTTTTGATCTGCTTCTGAAAGCTCAATGGTCTTTTGTTTTAGAAAATCATTACCAATAATAATTTGATAGTTTAATTGGTCATTCAAATCTTTGACAGCATATAGCTCCTTGTGTAACTTTTCAACAGTTTCATTCAGACGTAAATTTTCAGCTTCTTTCTTGTCCAACTTCTCCTCCAATTTCCCAACCTTCTCCTTCAGATCGATGTTAATCACTTGGAGACCACTTACATCTTCAGCAAGTGCTTTAACTTCAATAGCTTTCTCAGCACTGAAGGTCTCTAAAACGAGAGAGAGACTACCAAGGGCTACTGCTTCTTGTAGGGCAATGTTGTTTTCATCTTCAAGAGTACACATATCCTCTTTGAGGTCCAAAAATTTCTTGAACAAACTTCTGTTTTCTTCAAGCTGCTTGGAATTTTCCTCCTGCAATTGCAGGCAAGCTCCCTGCATGCTCTTCAACTTTACATGTTGAGTCTCCAGTTCAGCATTTAATATTTCTTTCTCCAGCTTTCCATCATAAACTTCCAACATCAACTGCTGGTTCATCTCTAGAAGCTCCTGCTTCTCTTTCTGTAGCATAGCACTCTGCTTTTCCATGATCTCAAACTCATACTCAAGGGCCTGACTCTCGGACTCAAGTTCAATGCCCTCTAATTTAAGTTGCCCGATCAAAGTCAAGAGCACTGAGTTCTCAACTAGCAGCCGCTGCTTCTCCTCCTTGTTCCTTGATAGTGAACTCTTTAGGTCTTCAACATTATCCAGAATACGTGAAAGAGGAATTTGATCCAATTCAATAGCATCCTGATGCCCGTTAACAGGATCAAACTGAAGAGCCCTGAAAACCTGAAAAATTCCAGACCTCAGTTTTTCAATTTCATCCAACAGGAATTCACCCTCTATCTGCTGCTCAAGATTTTCACTCTCCAACTCCCTAATTAGTTTATCTGACAATTTGGATGCCTCAATATGTTTCTGACATTCAATCAACAGAGACAAGTTTTTTTCCTCTAGGTCTCTTATAAATTTTTGCAAGATGAAGATCTCAACCTGAGCCTTGACAGCTTTATCCATCTCTTCTTCAAACTCTTTCTTCCTCAACCCACTTTCTTCTTGCAGTAGATGGACATGGTTTTCTATATCTGCTAATCGAGATTCACTTGATTGCACATAACAGGCACGCTCTAGTTGTTCCACACCAAGGGAATCCCGTAGTTCCTCTACTTGAGAGAGTGTTGACTCTTTCTCCTTCTCCAGGTCAGTATACTTTTCCTCCAGTTTATTAAATCTGAATTCCAGGATGCATAGCCTCTTTTCAACATTTTCTAGCTTAGAAATCAGGCTCTCTTTTTCATTTACGAGATTGGATTTCTCATTTTTGAGATATTGGCAAAATTCTTCTAAGGTCTTTGACTTTGATCTCAAGCCTTCAAGCTCAATATTGGCACCAGAAAGAGAACTTTCCAGCAATGTGTTTTTCTCCAAGAGCTTCTGCATATTCTCAGTCATTATCTGTAACTGAGAAAGAACAGTGGCTTTCTCAGCAACAAGAGAAGATTTTTCTCCCTGAAGAAATTCACGGGACTTTTGCAATTCCCCAACCAGCTCCCTTGACCCTTCCAATTTGGCATTAAATTCTGACAGTGAACTTCTCAAAACAGCATTCTTCTCCAAAAGATCATCCATGTCCCTCAATTTCTCATAAAGAATTTCAGTCTCACCTCTATGCTTGCTGCATTCTTCTTTCAGCTTTGAGTTTTCATCTCGCAATTCCTTCACTGACGGCTCTATACATTCTGGATTTAAACCCACAGACAGTAGCTGCTGAATTAAAGCCTGGTATGCTCTACTCAACACCTCAATTTCCTCCTTCAATTTGTAAACCTCTTGCTGGAGGACATTACTTCGGACAATTTGTAGTGCAACATCACTTTCAAGTTTATCTTTCAGTTCCTTCAAGCTGAAAATTTCATCTTGCAGATTCTTAATAGAAATGGAAGAAGAACTGTTTAATTCATTGAGACTCTGATTTTCTCCCTGCACCTGCTGAATGTCTTCCTCCAATTGATGGTTGCTGATCTCCAACTCCTTCAACATTTGAAGCCTATTCTGAATCTCCAATGTCAAAGCTCTCTGCTCTTCTTGAGATTGTGAATGTAACTTTTGCAAAGTTTGTAGGGTGGCTTCGACTTGCACAAACTGTAAATGTTCTTCCTGCAGTGATGTCTGAAGTTTCTCTAACTCCTTTTGCTTCTCAGAAAGTTCTTGATCCTTAATTGCTATTTTCTGCACCAGATTATCTGCCTCTACCTGTAGAGATTGATTCGATCTCTCCAGCAAAACACGCTGTTCTTCCACAGTCCTCAATTTTTCAGCATTGAGGAGAATCTCACTGTTTAATCGTTTTGAATCCTCTTGGGCACACGAAATTTCACTCTCCATCTCGGCTATTGTTTCCAAGCATTGCTCATACCGGAAAGCTGCAATATCTTTCTCTTCTTTCAGCTTAGCAAGAGCTTCTTTTAGTGCTTTAACTTCACTTTCAGCTCTTTCAGTTTGCATGTTAAGCATTTCCACATTTTCCTCAGCAAGTGAGATTTTATTTTCTAATGCAGATATCATATCAAGACATTGCTTGTATCGTAGAAGACCAGCTTCCTTTTCAGCCTCTAAACTAAAAAGCTCTATCTTAAGATTTCGAGCACCAATTTCTGCTTTAAAAGCCCTCTCATTAAGCCCCTTTGTATCCTCTTGGGATTGGGAAATAGTATTCTCCAGGCTGGATATTCTTTCCAAACACTGATTGTACTGATGAAGACCAGCATCTCTCTCAGCTTCCAATTTACTTAATGCTTCCTTCAATATTTTGATTTCAATTTCAGCTTTGCTGGCTCGTTCGTCAAGATTCCCAGCATCCTTTTGCGCTTCATTTAGTTCTCTCTCCAGGCTAGATAACTTCTTTAAACTCTGTTGGTACTGCAGAAGGACAGCTTCCTTTTCAGCTTGAATCTCAGCAATAGTTTTCTTCAAAAATTGTAATTCAGTTTCAGCTTTACCAGCACACTCAGACTCGGAAAGAACCCGGGTCTTCAGATTTTGATTCTCAATAGATAACTGAGAAAACCCACCTAGCTCACCATCCTCTGCTTCACCACCATTCCACTTCTTCATCCTTCCTTCAGCAATGTTGGAACTTGGAGGCACTATTCCTGACCCGAAGATCTCATTCAACTGCTTTAAACCCCTTTTGCTTATCCCAGACTCTGATTCTTCTGAATTTCCAGAACTCTTTTTTATAGCATGAAAAGTTGAAGACAGTCCCATTGCATCCTTTTGCAAGTCAGCTGGATCAAAGAATGCACGAATTGGGTGTGGCATTTCTGGTGTGTGAGGCTCAACCTCAGGGCCTGAAGAGCCTGAGGGTGATTCATCAGCCAGTACAAAAGGTACCTGGTTGGGAAGGACTTCTGCCATGGTTCGATGGGCCTGGCGAAGCTCCACAGTTGCATGATCATACCTCTCTGCTAATGCACGGTAAGCTCTATAGAACTCCTCAACCAATTTTATGAGTTCTGGCCGTTTTTCATAGTACATTTCTGCTCTTCTTGCAAAAGAATCTGCATCTTCTTCAATCAGTTTGATCATTGCTTTAACTTTAGTATCCATATCTGTTGAAACAGAATAGTTCAAGTTGAGGAGATGGACCAACATACAACAGAAAATTCTCAAGGCAAAAAGAAAATGACACGTAGGAAAGCACAGTAATCTATCATCTTTAACAATCAGTAGAAATAAGATTTAAGAGCTAAGGAGAACACAAGGCAGATCACACACAAAACAATTATGAAATTAATTGGATTATCCATTTTTATTTTTGTTCAGATGCAGATAGGTACTGATTGGCTGGTTATGCAGAGAAAGAAAGCCAGTGACGCCCCCCAATTTCTGAAAATCTATTACTAATTTGGTTTTAACATACATATAGACTGCAAAACAGTAATTCAAACAGGAAAAGCTTTTTTGTTTATTAACAAAAACCAGTTCTAATATTCCATCTGAATGAGCAATTAGGGATGCAAGTAACTTTTAAACATTTCACTCAGTAAGCTTTCAACTATTCGGCAACTTTCCATTGCCATACATAATTTATTACCTAAGTTCACACTAAACTTTTGACATAAAAAAGTATGAAAATTTTGAATATCCTACTTATCAAAAAATTTATCATATCTTTTATACCATACAACATATTTTTGCAGTGAAAAAATTTCTAGAACACTAGTGGAGCGCTGTATTTATAAAGAAAACTTTATACCTGTAAGATTTTCCTGAAGCCATTTCGAATTCTTAGGGCTAATGTGGCTGTCCCACCACCATGAATACAAGCGTCTGGACTCAGAATGTAACAAAGTTGCCATGATTCCAGCAAAGAATAATAGTGCAACCGGTTTGGACTTTGCCAAAGCCTGGTCCTTATACCAGTGATAAAAACCCAAGTAATGGATCCAGGCCAGAATAACAATTTACTCTATTTCACTACTCTATATCTTTCCAAAACGAGCCTTAGAGATTTTTATGCCGGACTCCTTGCACCTGTATGGTCAGATAATCAGGTTAAGCAACTTTAAGCATATTCAAAAGAATCAAAACTATAAAATCTGCACTACCTTCTTTAAAATATTGAAAATAAGGCTCCATAATACATCATGCACATAGTGCAAATTACCTGCTCAATCAAGATCACTCCAATGATTTGCAATAGTGATTCTATTCCAGCCTTCAAAAGCTAACAAGCACTAATCCATTGAAAAGAAAAGGACGCTGTCAGATCTTCACCATAACATACGACATTTGTACTTGCAGTGAAAGTAATTCAACAAGAAAGAAACCATATTAGATTGAAAAAAGTTACTTGTACCCAGTGGTCCAATTACAAAAGGAATTCATCTTGAAAATATACTATCCAAAGACGCACATGATCCTGATTTTTTATTTTTTTTTTGGAAAGAGGGATCATAATCTTTAGGCAAACTGATCTCAAAAGAGAAGAAAAATCGAACCATAAGAACTCGACTACACGAAACTGGAAAACAATTAAAGTCTTTAAAAAAAGCCACATCAAGGACTTACGAAAGGAACAAAATCTGATAATTAACTCTGATCACCAAGAAAAAGCTAGCATTCAAACATCAACTTTTGAGCAAATAGGCATCAACAAAAACAGCAAAAAAGAAGAAAAAAACTGGGCATCAACATAAACAGCAAAAGAGAAGAAAAAAACTGGGCATCAACAAAAACAGCAAAAAAGGAAGAAAAAACTACCTTTACAACAGAAACATTAAAAAAAAAATCTTTACAACAAAAACATTAACTTTTAGCAAATGGGTACTCAACAAAAACAGCAAAACTGAAGAAAAACAGTAGTATGTTTATAGCAAGAAGTGAACTTTAAGCAAATGGGTAATAAAAAAAACCTGCAAAAAAACAAGTGCTTATAAAAAAATTTTGGATCAAAAACATACCCAAAACACCAAAACAAATCTGGGAATGGGACTTTGATGATCAGCAGCTGTGATAGTAAACCTCCAGCCGCATCTTTGCCAAAGTTACCCCATTGTTCTCTTTGTTTCTTATAAAGTCTCTCGACATTTCTTTTTCTCTCTCAAATGAGTTCCTTGCATTATTTTCTTAGATTTGGCAGAGAGAAATAGGGCAAAATGGATGAGCAAAGTCAGCAAGGTAAGATATTTATGAAATTTGTAAAATTTCTTGATTTTTTCGCCCTTTCTGTAAATAAGCAAAGAAGAGAGTGAAAAGGACTTTGCTTGTACTTGTTAATTCGGAGTTCAATGAAATTATCAAATTCTTTTTTTATGTCTTTTTCTATTTTTCTGTTAATTTTACTGTGTTTTTCACAAACTGCAGTTGAAATGGAAATGGAAACTAAATGACTACTCTACCCTTGGTAAGATTTCAAAACCGATGAGAAAAAAAAAAAAAAGAGAAATCCAAAAATTGATTTGAAATTATAATATTTGATTTGATTCAGATTAATTTTTTATTTGATTCAAATTAAATTTATATATTAAATATATATATTATGTTCGATTTGAATTTTGAATCAAAAGTAAAAAATCGAAAAAATTAAATCAAATTGAATTATATATTTTTTAATTTATATATATATTTTAAATTTTTATAAAATAAAAATAATAATTTTATATTAAAATCTATTTAAATATATTAAATTTTTATATTAAAATAATATATAAAAATTAAAAATTGATAAATCAAACCGATAAAATTTAATTCGATTTAGTTTAATTTTGATTAAATGAAAGTTTGATTCATATTAGATTTTAAATTTTTATAATATTATGTAATATTCAAAAAAATCAAACTAAACCAAATCGTTATCACCCTTAATCTTAATAATGTTCTTTCTCAAGTTCCTTAAAAAAAAAAAAAAATTGGTTGTGAATTTGTGGTTTTTGAAGAATGAAGACCTTTTTCTAAGGTTTGAAGTCCACAAATTATGCTTTAAATTCTCCTATATTTCTCACTAACCCTAACAAAATCTAAACTAAAAAGAGATGAGCTAAGAATTTTTTAATTTTAATTTCATATTTTTTAATCATGTCCATAAAGAGAAAGCATTTTTATATTTTTATATGAAAAAATTTATATTAAGATAAATACCAAAAATATTTCTAAATCTTATTAAAAAAATAATAAGATGAGATAAATAAGAGTGTACAATGTGATAACTTAAAATAAAATCAATCTTTATCACAAGCTAAATTTTAGAGTTTTTTTACATGAAAAATCTTAATTACGATTTAATTGTAACATTTTGACATGTATTTATGTAATTATGAGTGAGTTTTTCATGATCTAAGGTTCAATGTTATCCACAATTTTTATCATTTTTTTAATTTTTTAATAAAAATTATGACTTGGCAATATCTATTGACATATTAAAATTTTATTGATTGATGATTACTATAGCATTTTTTGTTATTGTGCTAAAGGATGAGGTTATTTAATAATGGATTCAAAGTTTTAAGTACTTCAATTAAACTTTTGAGAAATTATCAAAGAATTATGATATGTGTCAATCTCTTAATCATGTTAATAAATTTAAAAAATTTCATGTATCAAATAAATTTTTAATATATATTTTTAGTATAGATACCACATTTAATATTTTTCGATACTTAATGAATTATAGAAATCGTTAGGTCAAAATATGCGATTAATCTCTATACTTATATTGAATTTGAACTTTAGTTTCTATACAATAATCTGAAAAAATTAAAATTTTAAATTAGTTTAATTTAACAATATTGGCTCAATTGGTAATAATGTTAATTGATCTCCATTAAGTTAGTTGACATGATCATTGACTATGCTAACGTGACATTTACTCTAAAATGAGGCAGTGACTTCAATAGTGTGGCATTGACTTGCTGATGTGATAATTGGGATTAATAACATTAATTATTAAATTATGCAAATGATTCTGTATACTCATACGAAATTTAAAATTTAATCCTTATATTCGCACAAAATTTAAAAGTTAGTCTCTTTAATACAAAAAATATTTTGCATTTTTAGAAATTTTATAGTTTTTCAAAACATTAAATTTTAAAAATTGCTATAATATTCTCATATAATATTAAAAAAATCTATCACAATATTTAGTCATAACATTCATATATTATCACTAAATCTATCACAATTTTTTGTCACTCATGTGAAATGCTATTACTAGTTTTATTACTATTTCTTGTTATATTCTGTCATAAAATATGAACTTATTATTAATTTTGTTACACTTTTCTATCACAATTGTAATATATTGTGACCATATGAAAAAAATCTTAAACCAATTTATTAAAAATCTATTACAAATTTGTTAATATATTATACAAATCTATCATAATCAAATTTTAATAAAACTATCATTTTTAAATATTCATGGAGATGATCCAGAAATCAATGCCATGTTTAATGCTGTTAAAAAGAGGAAGAATATTGAGAAAAGTCCTAAAGAAGTCACATTCATTGTTGATAAAGTAATGGCTGAACTTGAGATCGCTGCTGTAGATGATGCACAACTCAATAGAATAGGCCAACCAGCCATCAACAAACTCCAAAAATTGCCTTTTCTTATCGATGTTTTGTCTAAAAAGACTTTTCAACAACGAATCTTGGATCATGGGGTTTTGATGATCATGAAGAATTGGCTCGAACTCCTCCCTGATGGAAGCTTACCAAATGCAAATATCTGTGACATGGTTTTGAACGTCTTGATAGATTTTCCACTGGATTTAGAGCAACAAGATTGATGAGAACAGTTCATGAAAAGTGGTATCGAAGAGGTGATTATGTTTTTGTCAAAATCTAAGGAGGAAATAAGTTCTAACAAGAAACTTGCTAAAGATTTGGTTGATAAATGGAGCCAAATCATATTTAACAAGAGTACGATGTTCTTTGATTTAAGAAACATCAATGATGTTCATGTTCCCATGACGAAAAAGTCTGTAAACAAACCCGTATGATTAGCAGCTACATCAGCTAACTTAAATGGAGATCAATTAACATTGTTATCAATTAGATCAATATTATTAAATTAAATTAACGTAAGGATATGATTTCTTCATATTATTATATAGAAATTAAAGTTCAAATTCAATATAAATATATAGATTAATCGCATAATTTAACCAAATTGTTATCCCTTTGTCATAACATAATAATACTTGTTTAATATCATTATTCTCAATGATTTCTTATAATCCAATAAAAATATAAATTAAAATTTTTCATTCAATTTATTGAATCTTAATAAGTTATTAGCTTTAATTTTGCCATAACTTTTTATACCAAAAACTTTTACGACAATTTTTCATATGAAATATGACTACAACAAAAATTTGCATTATATGTTATAAAAAGTTAGTATTTGATTATATATAATATTGTTTCTTTTAATTTTACATATATTTATGTGTTTACTCACATATTTATATATATTCACATATATGTAATTTAGTTTCTTTTAAGTAAAATTCATAACCCCAACATTAAAAATGAGTAAATGATCATTTAAATATCTACATATAAATATATATATATATATTTGCATTTGTAAAATAAAAAAAATATGTATTTTAATATCCAAAAATAAAAGAAATTATCAAATAGGGTGTGATTGAACATAGATTCTTGCTTTTCTTTCTTCTTTTTGTTTTTTTCATAATTTGTCTTCTTTGTTTTATTCAAAACAAATAATTGCAATAAAAAATGCATGACAATAATTTCGGTACAGCCGATAACCTTTCACATAAATCACATCTTCAACAAACCTAACTGAGGACGTGATCTCCAAAATAAGCTCACGTTTTGAAAATTTAAAAAAAAAAAACTAAAAAAATAAAAGCAAGTCAGTGGTTGTATCTATTCCTCTCTCTCTCTCTCTGTCTCTCATGAAATTAATTTGTTTAGACCATCTCTAGACTTTTGTGAAAACTCAACATGCAATTAAGAGGAACACATCATTAATTAAATGCAACTAATTAATTAAAAATAATGGATTAGGATATTAAAGGTTAAAGATTTTTAATAAGACATTCAATGGTTAATATTTTAGAATTCCATCTTAAAGATTGAAAGAAGATGATTATTATTTTAGGAAATACTAGAAAATTCTTCAAGATTATTGATCCATCATTGGTTGAAAGTCAAATTAAAAAATAATAATAATAGCTCTAAATTATGAAGTTTTGATCATTTTAGAGGAAGACAAAGGAAAGGATTATAATGTGTTCATCAATCATGGCTGTTGATATTCTTTCAACTAAAATGTATTTTTTTTTATTCCAAAATCATAAGTTTTTTTTGGTTTATTAGTAGTTAAATAAAGTTCTTATTGGTACAATTGGAACATTAATTATATTAATAACCAAAAAAATGGTACAATTTGAACATTAATTTATAGCAAACCAATTGCCATTTTCTTCAAAAATGACACATGATCTGCATTTGGATCTTGGGTTCCGTTTGTTTCTTTATTAAGGTAGATTGTTCCTTTTCAAAGGTGGGCCTCTAGGATTGGTGCCACTTTTGTCATATTATAAGAAATACACAACCAACTCTCCTTTATAGAAATTCATTTTTTTTAAAATTATTTGTTGGAACCTCCAGCTGGTTCATAATTTCATAACTATACTCATAAAAGAATTGTTCAAAAAATTGACTACAAAATAAGAGTAGAGTTTCTCATTAACCCTTGACCAAATGTCAAGAGCAAATTCAATGAATTACTATTCAAATTTAGAATCATTATTTTTTACTTGGGTTTTTTTTTTTTTTTATAATACTATAGTCACGAATATTTTCAAAATTTATTTAGAATTGGTTTCATTTTTGTATAATCTAAACTATAATAATACTAGCATCAATTTGAACTATCAAGGTAAATATTCAATTTGAAGTTTTTTTTTTTATTAAAAGATGTCCTAATCTGAAGGTGGACAAATATGCTATAAGTAATAAAATTTAAATCAATTGAGTTAAATTCTAAATTAATATTCAATTTAAAATTATTATTATATTAATTAATTAAGCCTCTGATTATTTTTATGGACAATCACATTAAACTGACAAAACTGCCCTTAACAAAGTGGTAGCTCATCCATTAATATTGGCCAAACTTTTACCTTCTGATGAGAAATATTAAAAATAGTATAGTTAACTACTATGTATTAGTCACATGCTTCATTTACTTCTTTTTTTCTTCTTTAAAAAGGTAGGAAGGCAAAGTAACAACTG